GCATATGTTGTCACTTGGACCATCTGCTGCTGAGTGTGATGGAGAAAAGGAGGGACTTGAATGTGAAGTCTTTTTATATGTTCTGTGAGTCTGCTTATATATCATGTTAATAACTCTTGAACTTAACCTGGGCCATCATTCACCAGACAGTTGTTCAGGTGACCACTCATCAGGAGGACTGCACAAAGGAAGTGAGATTTGAGAAGCTGTGCAGACGTCAGAGAGGATGCTTAGGCATAGGGGACAACTTAAGAGAAAGAAAAGTGATATGATACCTTACAAGACAGGAAAGGAAAGGATTTCTGGTGAGATTTATCTACAGACATTATTAATAGGTACATGGAAAGAATGGGAAGTGTTTTCACCTTCAAGCTCAGCTGATTACTATAGCCTGCCAGTGCTTGAACATGGCAGTAGTTAAGAGGCATGCAAATTTTTCCTGTTTTCCTGACCACTGAGTCAGTTTTCCAGAAACACTGTTGCTTGTATAGAGTACCTAAATTTTTCAGAAAGTAACTAGAATTGGTGCTCAGGCAGACTGCTCTGAGACCATCCCAAGCAAAGAAAGCTGTGTACACAGTGCTGTGTAAGTGATGTTGATAGGTACATTCTGATTGATGGGCGAGTTTGTCTCCCAAACTGTCACAGGGTTTATAGAGGTGCCACTCAATACCAGTGCTGGAATTGCTTGTCAGAGCACCTGGCTACAAGAGCAATGGGGATTGGAGACAGAGCTGTAACTTTGTTTTTTCTCTGCTTAATGGCCCCAGCTTCTGACCTGCCTGTTCACTCCTGTTTGTCTGGTCCTTAAGGAGGCAGCTGGGATTAAGACTGTCAGAGAATTGTACTGCTTTAGCATCAGGAGGCTAATTGTATTGGGGCTGGCAGCATATGACAAGGGGTTGCCTCCTACCAAATGCACAGCAAGAGCAAAAAATTCTCAACAAGGTCCAGGAAGGATATAGGAGAGTCTGCACTGGGTTTGTTCTTTTTTTCATCTAAAAGCAGCATTTTTAAATTCATATGTGGAATTACATTCCTCAGGCCTTGAGTGACTCCTAAGAGTAGCAGCTGTTTCTGTGAATAACAGATCAGTCTCTTATGAATTCTTAGGTAAAATTCACAAGTTAACTTTCAGTTGTTGGATTTCACTTTGTTAACACGTGGGAATAAAGTTCTGGTCCAGACCATTGACCTCTGGGTAACACACTGGCTTTAGAGGTCTCTACTCTAGACAGTGTTGCTGGTGGCTGTGAATTATTGTGCGACCTTCAGAAGCAGAGCCTTGCTGGAGGAACCCTTCACTGTTCTCGGTGCACACTACTGAATTGCAGATCACCCGAATGGAGTTGGTAGGGGGTCTTCTGGAAGCTCCTATCCTCTGCACTCCATTTCACGTTTTCCTTTCTCCAGGATGGCAGTGTACACCACCAGCAGGAGCTGGAAGTTGTGAGCCCTCTTTACATTTGGGCTGAGTTAGTGAGAAGCAGGTGTGATCCTTTTGGGCCTTCCTTGCATTTAGTGGTCTTCTTAATCCATTTATAACAGCACTTGTCCAGAAATCTGGTTTGAATGAGCCTGAGATGAATGAATAATGTCAAGCAGTTCAGACGTCAAATATTTGAACAGCTGCGTGGGTGTTTTCACTGGCTTTGTGCATGGAAGCAACCCCAGGAAGTTAGACAAGGAGGGTCAGTTTGAAATTGTGGCACCAGACCCGATCTTGCTGGAACTGGCCTCAAAATCCCTGCTGCAGAATGAAAAGGTATTACAGGATGCCAGTTGCAAGCTGTTTGTTCCCCAGGTGATGCTGGGCCAAGCTTCGCATCCCATTTTTTCGTGCTGTGTGCAGGAGCAGTAGTGAGATTTATAGAGATTATTGATTTGCATCAGAAACATGTTTTGTGGCTTTTGTTTTTCCTTTTTACTTAAAGCAGCTTCTGAAGTCCTAAAACTGATAGCACAACTTATATTCAGAGTATTTTTTGGATTCATGGAGGTTACTTTGTTTAGCATACAGTTTCTAAATCATTGGTTTTTTGCCGTGTTGCAGTGGACTGCACTTGGTCACATAAAAAAATTCTGTATAAAATGAAAAACAGAGTTGGATCACCTGATTGTACCTTACTTCAGGTGTCCGTCTGGGAGTCCTTGTTTGATCAGAAAAGAAAATTTACCTTTCCCTTGCCCCTCATTTTAACCTATGAACTTCTCTGCAGTGTCGTCCTCTCTGACTGAAAGGCTCTCTCAGATCATCCCAGTGTGTATTTGCCATCATAACACATACTGTCCAAACTCTCCCCTTGTACACTCCCTGTTTAGGAAGTGTAGTAGTCTGCTGGCAGTGCAGCTAGGCAGTAGAGCTATATTCAGGCAAGCCTCTGGAATATTTTCCTTCCAGACTTAAAAGGGATTTTCTTAAATACAAAGGTCTTGAGAGCAAGGACACAAGGATTCTGAAGTCAAGGTGCCTTAATATTTGTAAACTGTATTGCAGTAAGATCTTCTCATCTTAAGCTCTAGCCATAAACCACCAGTTTGCTTGAGTCACTTGGAAACAAAATTGATGGAAAGGTGCATGTCTGCTGTGTGCTTGGCATCCTTGCAGAGGATAGTAACACGGGGGATGGTTCCACTTACGTCCACTCATTTGGCCACCTTCCCCCCCACCAAGGCACTTGCTCTGAGTATTCATTGTCTGGCTAATGTTCAGATCACCTCCTGGGACTGGCCAAGTCACAGCTCCAGCTTTGCGTGATTTGTGTCTCCCACAGCTACAAGAAAAATGAAGACCTGTGTGTCCAAAGTTTATGGCCTTTGAGAAGTGATGGGCTAAAGTAATGCCAGGTGCAGGGGATGGTGTTACTGCAGGTTAAATGCCATACCTATAAATTACCACCCCATCGCCCACTCTTGACTTTTAAAGCAGCTTTGAAAGACTATCCAGCTTTTTTGACAGGTCTCTCTTACCCCTCTAAATCTTCTCCCAAACATTGTGATGAACTGAATGAGTCAAGATTTACTAGATGAGCCATTGCAGCAAGAGGAGGCAGCTTGTGACACGTGTTGGCTGGCAGTGTGCAGCCAGTATGTATATTCAGAAATACTCTGAAAGGGGTCTGCTGGAAAAGGGCTGCCCCAGTTACACCATGGGGCTGACCTACAGCCATGGCTCCCACAGTACCTGGCACAGATGTGGGTGCTGCATTGTTGGTGCTAGTTGTGTTACCTCTCCTAAAAACTAAGGCTGGCAATTACTTTGAAGTAAAAGGTAGTTTATGCTTCTAGGGAAAGGTTAGTCTTAAAATCATTGTCATGCTACAGTTGTCACTCGTTAAGGACCTTCTTGATATTCAGAGAAGAGAAATATCAAATCCATATAAACAAATTTTATTGGGGGCTTAATGAATCAGTGAGAGCATCCATTCCTAGAGAGCGACAGTAGAGAGCTGTGTCTGCATAGTATCCTTGGAAATGAGACCTTTACTTTGCCCTGCTGTCTGCACAGATGCAGACCATTAGAAATATAGTTCACTCTTCTGGGCTTATGTTGCGTGTGCTGGTGAGAACCCAGTGGGATGAACAGACTCAGACATCTGAAGGCCTGAAAAGTCTGTCCTAATGTTTTGGAATGTCCTCATTCTTCAGACATGCATATAATATTCAGTGCTTCTACAATAATTTTAGCCTGTATTCTGTATTTTGAACCACAGTCACAGTACAGGAATGTAGTCATTTTGGGGCATTGGTGCGAGGCCAAGGGGACATCTACCTTACTCTTTCAATCCGTGAAGTTGGGACGTGTTCTTTGGTCTATCACAGACCTAGGTCACCAGCCCTCTGGATGTGCCAGGTCCTGCAGGCTCCAGCAGGTACCTTTGTCTGAGCCAAATGTCCAGCTCTGGACAGGGGTGTTAAGTGAAGGAGCATACTGGAGGCAGCTGCAGTGAGTACATTTCTGTCTGCATAGCTAATGTACCCAAACAGCTTAGATATGTTGCACAACTGAACACAAATGGGAACCTTGCAACCAACACCCCAGGGTTCAGGAGGTCTTTGCTTAATATCCAGTCTTACAGGAGAGAGGATATTCAGTGTTAGCTCTCATGAAGTGTAAATATGCCTTCTGTAGTTTCTCTTCTATTAATAAACCCTGGGCAGAAAACACCATGTGAAGGTTCATCTTTGTAGGTGTTTGTGCAGATTAAATTAAAAGAAGCCTGGTTGCAGTTTACGAAATGCTTGGGACCAAAGTAAATGTATAAATTGTTAGAAAGTGGGAATTGGTGAATAGTCAGCCTCAGGTGGAACTGTAAGTGGTTGCTTCTTGCTGGAGTTGGGGCTGGATGTGTGCCTGACCCACCTGTGCTGGAAGAGCAGAACTCTTGATGAGTTGCATTGCAATTTGGTCATATGAGTGCTTGTAAGGAGCTGTTAATGACCAAAGTTAGATTTTTTTCTCCTCTTGCAGAAACAGGTTTGCTGGTCTTAAATGTTTTAAATTTCAAAAATCTAAGCCGTGACTAAATGTATTTTAAAATGGAAAAGATGTTTCTAATTGTATTTTAGCCTCTGCCTGCCCTCTGCATCAGATTTAAGAAGTAATTCAGAATGTCCTTGTGGCTTTCTCTTACCTGCTAGTAGTGTGGATTTTGCATTAACTATTTCTGTGAAAAATAAGTCTTTCCTATTTAGCTTCATTGCTTTTTCTACCTTTGAGAGAGACCCATACAGTGACTTCAGTTCCAAAATAATTCATGTGGAGAGCTAAAAGCCAAGAATGTTACATTTTCAATGTTGGGGGCATTTAGAGCATAAAATCTAGGAAGTTAGAGCATTTCTGTGAATGTTCTTGTGCAGTCTTTGGAGAGGGCAGCTTTTATGAGACTGTTAAGAGTGAAGGACAGCCTGCAAACTTGTGCTGTAGCACCTTTCTTGGGAGATCTCCTACACTTCATTTCCAATTCAGATGCTCATCCATGTGTTTTATTTTCTTTCAGGTTCTGGGTTTATCATGTGCAGCGGGAAAGAGAATCCAGACAGCGACGCTGACCTGGATGTGGATGGAGACGACACACTTGAATACGGGAAACCACAGTATCGTTTTTGAAAGGCTCTTACTGAGAGGGAACCTAGAGGTGCATCTGCCCTGGGAAATGGTGGATAATCCGTGTCCAGCCCTACTGGAAGTGACACAGCCTTCTTCAGTTACCGTGTTACTTGAACTAGGAGGGGTTCCCCATTACACCCTTTGAGATCCTGCTGTTGATACAGCACTACTTCCAACCTGCTTGAAGTCTATAGGAGACATTGCAAAGGATTAGAGTTTCTCTATTCTGTTTTGTAAACAGTCTGTTTCCTCCATCTGGGTTTGTGGTTTGTTCTATATTGATAGCTTTTCCTACTTCATGGGTAGGAATTGAGTTTATTTTCCACAAGACACCCTTTTGTTTTCAAGGGGTTTGTGCAGTAAACAGTATTCACCTTCCAGTCAGAGAGATTGGATTTTTTTTTTTTTTCCTTTTCATTAGACAGTTCATAGGCAGAACTATCATTAAAGGCAGATTTTGAGAACTTCTCCATCTGGGAGCAGACTTTTTGGGCACAGCTCTGGGAGAACTATGAGCAGACTTCTGCCCCACAGCAGTTATAATAGGCATCAAGGAAGAATTCCTGCAAGGGCATGAGACAGACACTGCCTTAGCTGTGATGAGGGGCAATGTATAGCTAAAGAATTAGGTTTTATTGAAATCTGTACCAGCCTTTAGGATTGAAGCTCCAACCCTACACTGGTAAAAGAACTCTATACTTCAAACAGAATTTGTGAAACTGAGCAGGTTAGGTTTGCACGGGTTCAGGAACTGGTTTTCCCTTTCCAAGAAGCTGTAGAATCGTGTTACTATCAAAAGATTTCTTTTTTTCCACCTAAAACAAAACTTTAATCCAGAATTTAAAAGCAGGCCCCTTTGTGGATACCAACCCCTCTTTTTTTTTGAGGTGTTCCCAATTGGAATTAGTTTGTTTTATATCCCAGGTAGTGTCCTAACCATCTCAAAAGCTTTTCCACTGTCTGCAGCAGGGTTCTATGTTCCTTAACCCTTTGTGCTCAGGTACACAGAGGCAGACATTATCCCTTGCACTGGAGAAGAGCCAGGTGAAGCCAAAGAAAGGGAGGCGCTCCGAGGTGCTGTTTTAAAGTAAGTATCATGCCTTTCTAAATTACTGCATTCATCACTTTTGGGGAGTCTCAGTTTGTGGAAAATACCTGTTCACTTGAGTGCAAAGGTTGCAACAAGAGACTTACGAAAAAGCATAGTCCAACAGGTGGGTTTCCATTTCTACCTGTGCAGCTGTTCTTTACTGAGTAAAGCCTCCCTGTACACTCTCCCTCTCTGAGCTACCCCACTGCCCAGCCAGTGCCATCTTTGCCCTGAACAGTGCTGGGCAGAGGATGAATTCTGGTGATGAAGAAACTGTGTTGGACTAAGGCCTTATGTATCATATTGCTTCATGATGAAATATGGCCTCTTAGCAGTACAGCAGCCATCAGAATCTTGGTTGGCGCAGCAGGAGTCTGGCACCTCATGTGTGACTTCATTGCATCCAATTACATGTTGTGGGGTGTGCAAACTAATCCTTCTATATTCAGCTCTGGGTTGGGGCAGGATGTGTGCTCTGCCCACATACATATGTGGAGAATGCAGGCAGCCAGCATTCAGGGCACTCAGGGAAGTATTCCAGGCAAATAAAATGAGTCTTAACAGGGAGGTAGGATTGCTTTCTAAGCCCTCTGCCCTGCATAAAACAAGACTTAAATTACCCCTCTATCTCTTTCAGTGAGTGATCCTGTGGGGTCAAGGTTGAAGTGATTGATAGAGCAGTGAAATGAAGTTTTCTTACTGCTTAGCCTGTCACAAACACTAGTTCAAAATTAGGTTTTACTCCATAGAAAAGTGGCATTTGCCACACTGGATCCAAACCATTGGTCCATTCAATACTTAGCTAACCATGTTAGTCCAAAAAACAGGGACTCAAAGATGCTGAAGATCCTTCACAGCTAGGACCCTGGTATTGTAGCAAGAGGATGCTTGGTTATCAGTTATCACTTAGTGCTTGGTGAGAGAAATGAGAGCCTGGGGCCAGGAGATCCAGTCCCTTGATGTGGCTTGCACCTAACACACTGTTTTGCTGTTTGGACAAGGTCCTTCCTTGCATGTTTCCTGGACTTGTTTGCCCATCCCTACAACACAAGAGGTAGTGTTGCCTGGAAAAGCACTTTGAAATTCTGCTGAGTTTCTGTAGAAATGCCATAGTGTCACTGATGCCATGAAGCATGAGTGTGTTACTTGGCTGGCCATCTGCTCACATTTTGAAACTTAGACTGATGGATAGAAGTATTAAGAGAGAAGTGGTTGGTGGAAGGGGTAGCTTTTCCTGAGCAGCAAAATTTTTTTGTACTCAACCTTTAGCATATTGTCCTTTTCTCTTTTAGTGGTGGCACACCAAGTACTCGAATAACGCCAGAGTTTTCTAAATGGGCCAGTGACGGTGAGTGTTGAAATTGTAAATTGTTAATTTATATACTACAGGAGGGCAGATAGATAGTCCATGTCTTCTGCTTGCCAGTACTTAGGAGGGGTAGTTACTAATGCTCTTGCAGAGTGTCATCAGATATGCATGCACATAAAACCACACTATCTTTTTGAAACTTCACAGCACAATTAATTATCACTAATGGCAGCTGGGGAAGTTCCCAAAAATGCCACCCTAACTGGTATAGTGAAGAGAGATAGGGTTTGGATTGACTTGATGTCATGTCACTGGAAGGCAAACTGCATTACGGAGGGAGCTAGCAGAGCCTATCAATGTGATGGTGGTGTTCAGCTGCTGGGTGTTTAAACTACATAGGTGCACCTATTACTTTTTTTTCAACTGCTTTCTTACCTTCTTTGAGAAGATATACTAAAGACTTGTATCATTTTCTTGACTGACTGACTGACAGCAAGACTTCCTTGCTGGCCTTTCTATAGCAAGAAAAGCCTACCGCTCTGAAGCCTTCACCTTTGGAGTGGAAACTCTAGGATCTGTCCTACTTCAAGACCTAAAATTGAGACTCCAGAGCAAATGAATTAATGTGACTATGTACCTTTGCATACATTACTTGAAAGCTCATTGGATTGAGAAGGAAGGGGGAAGTGTTAAACCCATTTGACTGCTGGGGAGTTTTATTCAATGCCAGCAGCACTTTAAGTGTAAGCAGCAACCTAGTGGAAATATGAGAATAATAAAACCTGGCGCGTTGCAGCTGTAGATGCCAAATCCATTTCCAGAGCTGGACAGTGCTGCTCCAGCTCCCTTAGGAAGGAAACTGAAGCTCAGCGACCTGAAGAGACATGTCCCAATGATTTTGTTCCCTGTTTTGTTCCTGTCATGCTTTGGGCATTTGATTCCCAGCTTTGAAAGTACCTACAAGACATAACTACTTGCCAGTGGGAGTGGGGGAAGGGAGTAGAACCAGTTTTGCCAAGGGCATGATGGTTAAATGGAGAACATAGGATATCTATCGCAGGCATTTTCTTCTGTGGGATAGGCAATCACATTTATTTTCTGTGAAGTAGAAGCACTTGCTTGTAGGTATTATCAGCTTCAGTAGCTACAGCCACGGAGGTGATGAGGAGGCAGCCATGATGACATTTGCTATGAGCTGTTTTCTTCATAACTTTTACCTGAATCCATGGTGATGAACCTACAACCCTGAAGCTCGTTCATCTTCTCATCTCCAGCTGGTGTCTCACACCCTTTCCTGTGCTGGGAGCAGCCATGATGAGCAGATTGTTCTGTCATTCTAGTTACCTGGCATAATTTTTCTGCTTGTGTCTGTGAGGTTTCAGCAAATGGGAGAGGCTGAGAGCAGGATCTGGGCTGGGTGGATTTGCTCCAAACCCACCTTTCTAGAAGTATACTTCCATGTGGCAGCTCCATCAACCTTTCTGAATTAAATCCTTGCTTAAACAATGGGTACCTCAGTGGGGGACATGAGGTGGGGACAGAGCAGGGGTTGTAATTTGAGCCCTCAATCATAGAAATATACTGTCCAGAGAGGCCCCCCCTGCCAGACAGGGACACTTAGCATCAGTCACTTCTCTCTGTCTTACCAGGAACTGGCATGAAAGTGACTCATGGGGATCCTCTGAAGCTGTGACTTGCTCAGATTATTTCGTTGCAATTATCTAATGTTTTCATACTAATTTTTCTGTTCTTCCCTCAACAGAAATGCCCTCAACGAGTAATGGTGAGAGCAGTAAACAGGAGACCATGCAGAAGACCTGTAAGAACAGTGACATTGAAAAGTGAGTGTGAATTGGGTAGCTTCCCTTTTTCTTGTTTTAAAGAACCATAATGTCCCATCTGGTGCTTCCAGCAGCAGTGCTGTGTTGGTTTTATTCTAATGCTTCTTATTCTTTTAGCCCTATTAATAAAGTTTTCTTTATACCTTTTAAATTTCATGCCTATTTTACCCTTCTCCTAATCCATATCTCACAGCAAAAAATAATTAATTACACTAATAATTTTAGCCAATGCTGAACCCACTACATTATTCAATACATTAAGCAAAAAAGTCAAATTAACAAATCTAAACCACTACAAGTGGTAGTATGAAGGTTGGCATATTTGAAGCTTTTACCATTGAAGAGGGAAATTCTGCTGCAGCACAAAACCTGAACTTGAAGCACTCACCACTGCTGTGTTCACAGAGGGCTTGTGGGGAGTTCTCCACCAGATATCTATGAGGACAGGTACCCAGTGACAAGGAATTTGGCACAGTGAGTGTGCTGCAGTCTACTCTGGAATAGAAATAAATGGGTTTATGTGCACTGTTCATTTGAGTAACAACCGCCGTTCTAAACCTTATTTCACATGCTGCTGGGGGTGACCAACTGCTTGGGCAGATTTGATGGTCCAAGCCTAAAAGTGCAGGCTGTTCTCTGCTGCCATGGGCTGCACCAGCTGGGATGGGACAGTATTTTAAGTTGATTATTTCCTGATATGAAAAACTGCCCCGAGATCAAACAACTTGAATGAGGTAGAAGCAATGATGTAATGGTAGCTTTTAAATACTACATTTTGGGGTGGAGTCCATGGATAGTTTGGGATGGTAAAAAATCTAGTGGTGTGGCATTAAGCTGACTTTACAGAAAGTTGTCATTTTTCTTATGTAGTTTATTCTCCTCCTGCCCCTGGTCCTGATGTGAGAGGTTGCGTTCCTGGCACATTTTTGGATCTCTGACATTTCGGGCAGCCTGGCAGAGCATATGTTCAGAATCAGAGTTAATTGGGAAAACTCCCTGCTGTACAGGGAACTTTAACACTGCTTTGCTGTCTCTGCACTTTGCTTTCTACAAGCCCTTTTGTTAGCATGTCCCAAATGTTGGCTGTCTACCATTCGATGCTTCTCGGTCAGCAGACTTTGGCCAAGGACCACTGAGTCTGGGAGCCTGCACATCAGTGCAGAACCAGCTTTGTCCTTAGAGTGAGCCTACCATTGCATGCTGTCTTGGTGGGAAGGACTCATCTCTCCTGCCCTAATCTGTCAGCCTCTGTCTCAGCTGCTGCTTGGCTTCCCTTTGGGCCTCCTGCCTGTCAGCCCAGCAGCCCTCCATTCTCCCAGTTCCACTCCTATTGAAAATCTTTAAACTGTAGGAGCTGAAAGGATTTGACATTTTCCAGAACACTTGAGCTCAAGTGATAAAATTGACATAGCTTTAATAATCTGATCAAAGAGGCTTTAGCCAGCACCTTTTGAATGGTCCCAGAATCCTTTCCAAACAACTCTCGTGCTAACGCTGCTGTGAAGTGCAGAGAGCGAGCGTGTGTGTGTCTATGCACACACACCTTGCTCTGCAATAACCTTGCCGGCTAAAGCTTCAGTTCTGCTAAAAGTCAGTAAAACCCAGAAGAAATTACAGGAAATTCCTTAAATGTCTTGTTCAGTCTTTCCAATAATGTTAATTTTTGAAAGTAGCAGAGGGACCTTTTCATTTAAGGTGCTTTATTTTACCAAGGTTCAGAAAACAAGATGGTGTTTCAGGTGGAGAATTCTTAGCTGCTTTTTTTTTTTCTCTCCTTTCCTTTGAGATTCATGTGTGATAAATAGTTTCTGTCCTGCCATTTAAGGAGTCTGAATGCTCTGTGTGCTTGTCTGTGTAGAGGGGTTCTGTTAAATTAATTGATACCAGGGATCAGAGCTAGAAGCCTACAGAAAAGGAGGGGGAAGGGTTTCTCACTGTCTGGCTGCTTCCCACTCCACTGCTGAGCCATGATATATGGCGACCTAGCCCAACAGGCTAAATTGATTCATCTCTAGTTCCTGTTTCTTAATCTGGAGCTAAATTGGTTTCATTTTTCTTGTTTTGGGTGGTGCTTACAGGAAGTTTTTGGCAGCATCACTTTACTCCATTGTTTGTAACTTCAATTTTTGCCTTTAAATCTGAGCATTATTGATTGGCATGTTAAACCTTGTGTAGCATCTGATTAGCATTTTTAAAATTGTCCAGAAGCACATGGCTTAGCACCTGTGTCAGCCGTGCTCTCTGTTTAGAGCAGTGGCTAATAGAGTTAGCAGTGATCTGCCTATTGATCCTTCTCTCGTAAGAATGACGTTCCTTCCTCCCCTCTTCCAAAAATAAGTCCAGGCAGAGAGAGTAGTGTGTTTTTGTTTCATTTTTAATCATTAATACAGACCAGTGAGCAGTTGTCCTTTTGGCACGCAGCTGAATTTCGTCACTTGAGCAGGTGTAAATTAATCTAAACATGGGGTTTTGTGGGAGTCTCTTGCATGTCGAACAGCTAGATGGGGTTTTGGGTAAGTCTGTGTTTGTTGCGCTGTTCCTTGTGCTATGCCAGATCATCAGTAACTTGGACAAGTTGATCTCATCATGGGATAGTGGGAGACATGGTGCTGGTCCCAGCTTTCCTTCCTAGCACTGTGAGGTGTCTCAGTGCTGAGCTTTTCTAATCATGCCAGTGTGAGGTGTCTGGAAGAAACACTGGGCTGAAGGCTCTTGGGGAGAGATGAAGGGGCATCACACCGCCTGAGCCCTGCCTGTCTGCTGAAGAACCCAGCTACTGGCAAGGCAAAGCTCAGCCCATGCAGTGCTCCTTTACCTCAGCCTGAGATTCGGCTTTGCTCAGAGTGTAGCTGGTCCCTAATTGCCCAGGCACCCTCCCTGACACCTCCACATCGGACACTCAGCAGAAGAAATGCTGCTCACAGAGAGCTGCAAAAAGCACCTTCCCCACAAAAACTCTTTCTCCCTGCCTTGTGAGGGTCTGGTGCCATTTTGAAACTGAGGTTCCCTGGGGTTAAAAGCCAGCATCTTAATTCAGAGTGCCAATGTTCAATTTTGCTTTCTGCTACCAGACTAGATTGCAGGCCAGCGAGAGAGTCTGGGTTAGTGGCCCACTGGGTCACCTCCCATTTGTTTTCCTCAATTTTGTGTTGTCATAAATTCATTCCAGCCCGTTGTGGTTGATCAGTTTATCTCCGCCGGGGCAGGGAGCGCTGCGAGCATGATATATGGCACAGAGCATTGTAGCCAGCCTCTCCATGAATCACTCCAGCTGTTTGGTGTCAGCCCCAAAGCAAACAGGGCCCGGCCGCTGAGCATTGACTACGATGAGCTCAGTATGGGAAGAGACATGACGTATGAATGTTTATTTAATAATTCTCTAATATTTCCAGCGGAGTGTGGCTGTGCCTTCTGGGAGGGGTGAAAGGGGGGGAGGTTGAAGAGGGAAACTCTAATCTGTTGGGGTGGGTCATAAATCAGGCAGACAACATCATTAATCAGGGATGGGACAGAAGTAGAAGGAGGTGGGACTGAAACTGCCATCCTTGTTGGGAAGGGGGCTGTGGTTTTGTTTTTTTTTTTCTTTCTTGTAAAACAAATCTTGTTTCTGATTCTGCTTGGCCCCAGCCATGCTGCCCGCATAATAGCAAACCCGGACATAAGGCTGTTTAAGTGAGTATGCTACCTCTGCTCTGAACCTTGCAATACAAGCCTGCCAAGCATTAAATCCCTTTATAATTATCTTCTTTATATAACACTTCATGCTTATCATGCTTCATTGGATGAGACGCTTGTTGGGTTAAAAAGAGGGTTTTAGAGACAAAAAGCAATTGTATTTGTTTTATTTTTCCTGTCTCTTCTTTCTTTCCCCCACCTCACCTCTTTCCAATCCAGCTGTTTTGAAATGTTGGCTCTGGAGGCACAGCAGCACAAGGGGGAGCATCAGTTAAACAAAGTTTAGATTTGGGTCCTTGTGCAAAGAGACAGGCATGTGAGAGCGGTCAGGGAGGTAGCCGTGTCTGTTGGGGAGACCCTACTCCCAGGCAGACACGTCCAGGTGGGAGCAGAGTGCAAAGCCAGAGGATTAGCAGAGGCCTGAAAGGGAAGGAGCCATGCTTAAGCTGGTATGTCTAAGCTGGTATGTTGGAGGAAAACAGAAGCTGTTGAGAATTCACACCACAGGATAAGCACTACCCAGCCCTTCTTCAGTGTCACACCATTAATAGGCTTTGACGGGAGACAAGAACATCTCATAGCAAAGACAGAATTAAAAAATTAACTTGAGTCATAAATGAACTAACCCTTTGTGCTCTGCTAAGCTGAGAGCATGATGCTGCTGGTGGGTCCACTACTAGAGCAGCCCATGTGAACTTGGGAGAGGATTCAGGACACTGAACTGAAGTGTGGGATTGTCAAAGGCTGAAAAAGAGCTGCTGGGCTGTGCTGCTTGTGTCCAGATTTTTATCTTCATTATATTTTACTCCTTTTCAGTAATTCAGTGGTATGTAATACTGTGTTTGCACTGTATACTGGTGTTGAAAGGGTATGGAGATAGATGCTTCATTTCTCTATGAAGTGAGGCTTTGGCATTACTTCTTCCTCTGGGATGTGACAGTGGAGAGCAGAGTGCTGGGCTCTGTTTTTTTATTCTGCTTCCCTCTTTCAACTTTTGGAGAGAAGTTGCATGTGCCAATAATGGTTTCAAACATGATAACCACTATGCAAAGTGAAATTGTATCAGCGTCCGGTTCTTCCCTGGCCAGTGGTTAATGAAGCTCAGCGAGGCAGGCTGTGACTGTACAAGCTCCTGTACAGACCTGGGGTAGGTGGTATCTCTATTTAGTGCAGCGTTGTCCAGAGGTTTGGCCTAATTTCATGCCTTGAGGTAGTTTTCTATAGATTTTAACTTCTTCATATGGGAAGGAACTCTTATTTCTGTTAAACCTGTGTTGTTTTAAAGCTGAAGCATCTGCAAACCCATGGGATCTGCTGGCTTTCAG